TGAATATAGCTCTCGATGCCAAAATCATTCAGGTCTCCGTTACTGTAAGTGTCAAAATTTTCCTTTCCCTTAGTGAATTTGCCTTAGTGTTTTCCTTTTGCATAGTCTGACCCTTGGTGGTTTCATATTCGTTCACAGGCTTGCGTGGCCCTCGGAGAGTAACTCCGTAGGGTGGAGCAATTGCGCATCCAGAAGGCGCAGTCCGACGAGGCTTTGAAGAAAGCTGTCGTTCAAAATGCCATCTGCGTGAGCAAGATGGCAGAGTTGGAGGAGACCTTCCGGCTGGCTACTGAGGGGATGAAGCAAAGGTTGAAAGATGCCAAGGCCAAGGGTAAGGCCACTGCTGAGGAAGTCACCTCCGAGACCGCCAAAACAGCTATTGTGAAAGCCGAGGAGGCTAAGAAGGAAGCGCTCCTGCAAGCTGAGAAAGACGTTGTTGCCTCCATCACCGAGGGATGGAAAACTGAGGACCAAAAGAAGTGGGTGGCCTCGGTTATGGGGCGGCTGTTAATGAGTGGGTGGAAGGCCTCAGTGCTATGTGGCTGGCCCGGAAGGGCAAAGATTACTATGACAGGGGTGAGTTCTTTACTCAAGCCCTTGTATATCGGAGGCTGGCTCGGAAACATGGTGTGGACCCGAAGGACTTCAACCCGGCTGCCTATGGCCTTCCCCCCCCCCCTCCAGCTAGACGTCCGAATCCCCCTCCCTCTGGGCGTTGAGAGGCCGGACCTGGAGGACTCCGAACTGATGCAAGAGGGTCAGGGCGATGATGAAGAAGCCAGGGAGGATGCCACTTCGAAAGTTGCTGAAGAAGATCTTCAAGTAGCTAGTACTTAGAAAATTTTCCTTAGAATTCCTTGTAATAGTTTAGTAGGCTTTCGGCTTCGGCCCATTACGTAAACAATATACATTTTCGCCTCTGGGTATTTTTTGAATGAATGGATATTTGTGATAATGCCTTCGGTTGAAAGTTCCTCGTAATTTTATTTTCATATATGCCTTCTTCCTTTCGAACTTGTGCCCGAATGTATGCTTGTGTTGTGATTCCTTGATCTGCTCAAGGGCTAAGTGGTTTGGACTTAGAAAATTTTCTAAGGAAAATAGTTCCCATGCCCTCTGCGTGTAGAGTTACCGGGGGCCCATAATTGTGGACTTGAATAATTTCCAAGGTAAAGTGGTTGACATGCTTATCACTTTGTATATATAGATAATCAATAGAAATCATTTACACCCACTAACTGTCTAAGTATACACTAAGAACCAGTTCCAGATTACATATTGGACATGTCGTTCGAAAGTATCCCTGCAATTCATTTTTTTTGTTCTTCTTTTTGATTACTTCTCAGCATAATTCATCACCTTCCCTGCATATTTCTTTTTGTGTCTGTTGATGCACTAACTATCTCTTCATTCTTTTCTAATTATGCTTTTTCTTTGGGTTATTTGTTGTGCTAAGATAATAAGCAATAATCCCTTTTCTGCAGCTTTTTCTTATTGAGTAAGGTTCTTATGTTTCTATCCATTAGTGAAATATAATACAGAGTATACTTTAAAATTCGTTTGATACTTTTTGTTGGAGCTGCACCAACTATACCAAAGTATAGCTACAAATTAAATATATGTCTTTAGTCAATGGTTAAAAATATTCAAATTCAATACATTATAGAAATCAATACATATCTATACTTAGTCATATATGCATGTGTTTCACATGATTAACCCCAAACTCTTACTTTTGAGTTATGTATATATATTTGGTCTGCAACTGAGTAGTGCCTCAAGGTGCATCATGCATTGCTTACTGTCAACAACCCTTTACTATATGTCTTCACCAGTTGCATTGTCTAAGTACTATAACATGATTTACACCCACTAACTGTGTAAGTATACACTAAGAACTAGTTTCACTAGTGAACTCTCCACAATACTGTCACTTCTCCACTCCGATCCTTAATAATGGGAAAGCTATATTTTTTTTTACCGTATTAACTATTCATATAAGTAAGAGAAAGCAAACTTAAGGCCACAGGTTAACTACTTCGCAAAGTGTCAACGTGAAACCAGTAGCCCTAAACTATAATCTGACTTTTAAAGAAACACTACCATCGGTCCATCACAAGCTCTGCAAAGCAAAACAGACCGTTTTTTACTTAATCGGTAAGCGCAAACTTGAAACAAAAGTCGAAAGACCAACAATGCCAAATCTTTAAAAAAAATCTTTTCTACACACCTTAAATTTATGAGGTGTGTAGCTGTATGAAGCATAAAATTAGAAAGCAATTCAAGTATCCCCACATTGAAAAACTAGGAAAAGGCCTGGGAAAATATAAAACAATACTAGAGAGGAGGCAAATCATAACCTGGATGTCCTTATAATTCAAAAGGCAGTGAGCGAAGGAAATCCTATCAAGTTCGCGAAAACGGGCAACGCATAAGTCAGCGATGGTGGAAGCAGGTGTTGAGGAAGAGGTCGTAGAGGATCGAGCGTGAAGAATTATGTGCGGCTGTTATTTAGTTATATGATGTGGCAGTACGAATAGGCAACAGATTCCTCAAATCCAGGGTACCATTGTGGTCTAAAAATTAGTTTAAGAGTCCATACGTCCATATCAGCTTCATGGGCTTTCTATTTGAGTGACATGTCCATTTTTAAAGGGGTGCAATCCATTTGCCCATTAAAGATGCTCTTATAACATTATAACATTTTTACTCTTCCCATTAATATCAATATAGCATGTATGGTAACTTTTAATTTGACGTGTAATAACCTACGTGTTACTCTTAGAGCATCTCCAATGCTATAATGTGCACGGTGCACATGTGGCATGCGTCATAGCCACATAAATATTAGCAAATAAATAATCGTTCTCCTTATTTGAATGATTTTACACCATTTTGGTAAGTTTTTCCCTGCAATGTCAACAACAATGTCAACATCTAGACGGTCTTCTTGACATTGTGGAAAAAAACTTACTAAAAGTATATAAAATTCTTCAAATAAGAAGGGAAAGAATTTATTTACTAATATTTATGTGGTTATTTCTCATGTCACGTGTGCACCGTGCACATTTTGTCATTGGAGATGCTCTTACAACATACTTCGTACACTCTTGATAGTATTCAGAACAATTTGCATTTAGTAATACATTAATTATGTTAGATAGTATTCATAAATAGCGTACCTCTGGCTTTGGGCTAGATTTTGCATTAGTATCATCAATTGAAAGAAATTGCCTTTGTAGTTCCAAACGTAGTACTCCGTATATATGTATGGTAGAAAACAATTAATCACCACCAATAATTACCAAATTTATTTTTCACATTAATTCCCTATTTTGCCCTTATTTTGGGCGGGATTTTTCCCTCCAATAGTTGCCCCAACTCTGTTACTTTATATTATATAAAGATAAAGATATAGCATGAGAATTAGTATCCACTTTTCGAATTGTTAATTTCCATCCTTAGTGCCAAACACTTTGTGGTTCGATGACATTACTGTGACACTTTCAAGAAGGAGGTCACATGTTTGAAACTCATCACAGTCAAGGATGTTGACATTGAACTACTCCCTCCGTCTCGAAAAGGTTGGCCAAAGTTGACTTTCACGTGGATTAATAAATTAAAAACTGTGTGGTTGAAATTTGTGCAGAGGAGAGAGAACTAACTTTAGCCACATATTCTTTACTTTAAATGGAAATGACAAATCTTTTTGGAACATCCCGAAAACGGAAATTTGGCCAACCTTTTCGGGACGGAGGGAGTATGAAGTATTGACAGATACTATGAATAGAAACTACCAACTACAAAGTCTAGCAAAAAAAAATCATCCTTAGTATATTATTACTGGATTATTATTGCTAGGAGTATTATCAATTGCAGTTTCAGTATATTATTACTGGATATATATACCGAATTAATTAAAGAATATATTGTGGAATATTATTGAATTTATTTTAATTACATTGTACAAAGTTAATCAATTTACACCATTACCTGTAGTTACCAATTTCCAATAGAGCATATCACCATATTATAATTACACTCATTATTTCCATCAATTTTTTTGATAATCTCACATTTTCACCATTTCCATCAACAACATGTATTATAACATTATAACATTTTTACTCTTCCCATTAATATCAATATAGCATGTATGGTAACTTTTAATTTGACATGTAATAACCTACGTGTTACTCTTAGAGCATCTCCAATGCTATAATGTGCACGGTGCACATGTGGCATGCGTCATAGCCACATAAATATTAGCAAATAAATAATCGTTCTTCTTATTTGAATGATTTTACACCATTTTGGTAAGTTACTTTATATTATATAAAGATCACTTCTTTGTCTAAATTGGAATATGGTCCTATATTTGTCTTTTCATAACACATGTGTATCATCCATGTCGTTATTCCTAGAAATTTGCTTGGTGTACATACCGTCTTAGGATGTTTTTACTTAGACTTAGACAGTAATTTTCTGGTCGGACCTGATCTGGTGATATAATTTCTTTGTATTATTATAACTATCAAGTAAAAACATTCTTACACACATTTTCCACACCAAGTGTAATTGTCCGTGCAAAAATAAATACACTTGAATTTAGTAAAAGAAAGTGTTCTCGAATTGTTTGTGCGCCAAAAATAGTTTTCGTCCAATTTTCCTATTCATCATTCATTCCTCGTTGCTCTCTCTAGCGACCTGTACTCTGCACTTCAGATCTCCGGTAAGTTCCGAGCCTGTCCTCCATTGTCTACTGCTTCTTTTTTTAATCAGACTCCTCGCTCTCTCTTTAAAGACGAAGATGGTTATAAGCTGTTAAAATTGAACTTGGCAGCTGCTTTGTCTTTTTATTTTTTGGGGTAAAAGCTGCTGTCTTATTAATCAGTTTATTGAATTTTGAATTTCGATGGTTTACTAGCTTATGATTCAGTATTGAATCTTTGAATGCTACGTTTAGTATAATGTTTCTTTTTTTTTTTTGCAAAATACTCCCTCCGTCCTATTTTACATGTCTTACTTTCTCTTTTGGGTTGTCCTAAAATAAGTGTCACCTTTCCACTTTTTTGGAAAGAAATATGTGGTTCACAACATTCCACTTTACTATACTCAAATCTCAATCACAACTTTTACCTTTTCTACTACTTTATTAAAAATTGTACCAAAACCAAAGGAGACACATAAAATGAGATTAGTTTTACGTTTCTAATTGTGTCAGAATATGTTTTCTACTTTACTCATTTGGGCATCGCGCAGTTGGGATTCGAATTTCTCCGAGAGAATGAACTAATGAAGGGTACTTTGATAATTTACTCTGCGTGTACTCCGTAGAATGTAAGACCGAGTTATAGGTTGATCGGCCTAATATTCTTTAGGAGTAATTTACTTCTATTTAGGGTTAATTAATAGCTATAAATATTATGATCTCAAGCGTTATTATTAATAATAAAAAATGCATAATTTTGGGACTAAGGACGTTTGTGCTCCGACTTACTTCACTTAGGGGTGAGTTTGGTTCTTTTGGTTCGATTTTGACCTAAAACCAAATACGGAATCAAAGTAAAAGTTCGGTTCAGTTTCGATTCAGTTTTACACCCCAAAACTCAAAACCATGGTTCGATTGGTTCGTTTGTTTCAGTTCGGTTTCGGTCCTTTCGGTTTTATACTAAAAATTTGTCGTTTGATTTAAAATTGAGTCAGACTATGATGGTGGAAATTGGGTCGGGAGAGGCCCTAAAATACATAAATGAACTCAGGGGCGGAGCCAGGGGATTAGGGTGGTCGCCCGACCCCGCTGAAAGTTCAAGAATATAGAGCTCCGAAATAACTTCGATTTGATATATTATGAGTCTCGTAATTCATTAGGAGTAAAAAGTTATTATTTCTGAAAAAATCAGCACCACCTTAACTCTAAATAAGCAAAATTTGATGTGTGACATTGATTATATTCTTAAATTTAAAAATAAGACAACTTATTCGGTCATTAGTTGTGTGAGTATTATGATACATTACATACTACCTATATATCAATACATTAATCGAAAAATGATCATTAAATTATCATTTATCTTAGCCACATATGAAAATTTAACTCAAAAGTATTGTATACTAACTATCCATCATTTTGATAATGTTTATAATGGGAAAGTTCCCGAAATAGGACTAAAAGAGTTTGAAAATTCCAAAATAGGACTGACATGTTTTTATTCCCAAAATAGGAGTAATTACTGTCAAGTTTCGAAAATACTGCCATGTTTGAAGTCTGGTACTGTCAAAACATGTCAGTAATTAGTCCTATTTTGGGAATAAAAACATGGTAGTCCTATTTTGGAATTTTCTAACTCTTTTAGTCCTATTTTGGGTAATATCTCGTTTATTATAATTAAATCTCGACCCCCACACATTTTTCTGGCTCCGCCCCTCAATGAACTGGGAATAGAGATCCCCGTTCCGATTCCTCTACTCCCACCGTACCCCGGAACTGACCCAGAACTAAACCGTGCCTAGTTCAGCCACTCCACGGCGAGTTTAATATTATCGTTTCAAGTGTTATAAGTCCTAAGCAGAACAGAGTATTCCGCTTGATTATAATTGAATTTATTTAATTTTGATAAATGAGTGATTGTGTTTTATTTTAGTAATTACCTCAAAGTAATTGTAGTTTAGTTTTCAGTTTTTCTTCTTAATGTACTGGGGATTGCAAATCAAGTACACCCGTTTGGTGACCTTGTTTTTCAATATATGGGACATGCCAACCAACACATGTAACTTTTGGTTTCACGTGCCGAATTGTGTATTAATAAGAAAAATTAAGGTTTGAGTTACTTTTCTGACTGTATCGACTGAAGTTACTGTAGAGAATCATTTTAGGGAGAATTTGACTTTGCACCCCATGTTTTAAGTGATATTTGACTTTGCACCCTTTTTTCTGTGAAATAATGGGAAAGGTTACCCAATAGGGTACCTGGCAGATATATTTATACTGATAAAAGTTTCCAAAGATACAAAGGATTCCTAATTTAATATTAGGCTATTACACCCCCTCAAACTGTGCGGGAGATACAACGCGCAGGTTGTCCTTTAAAAAATGAAATTGCTGACTAGAGAGACTTTTCGTAAATATATCTGCTAACTGAAGACTGGTAGGAACATATTTAACAACAAGATCACCATGAGCCACACGTTCACGAACAAAGTGATAATCTATCTGGATATGCTTACTCTGAGCATGCTGAACAGGATTGGCTGTCAAGTAGGAAGCAGAGATGTTGTCACAAAACAAACGTACCGGTGCTGTGACGGGAAAACCAAGCTCGAATAGAATGGACCGAATGTGTATTGTGTCCTGCACCGTGTAGGCGATGGCTCGATACTCTGCTTCTGTAGAGGATTTGGAAACAGTAGGTTGCTTCTTTGACTTCCAAGATACAAGATTTGGCCCAAGAAATACTGCGTAGCCGGTGGTGGACCGAGAGGTATCTGGGCATCCGGCCCAATCTGCGTCTGAATATGCCACAATGCAGGTCACCTTAGGTGTAGGCTGAAGCCATAGACCATGATCAATGGTACCCTGCAAATATCTAAAAATCCTCTTGACAGCAAAAAGGTGAGTGGTACGTGGAGCATGCATAAACTGAGAAACTAAATGCACAGCATAAGTAATATCAGGTCTTGTCAAAGTTAAATACTGTAACGCACCTACCATACTGCGATACTCAGTCGCATCTGTAAGAAGCTCACCATCAATGAGGGATAAAGTAGTGCGAGATGCAAGGGGAGTGCGAACAGGCTTGACAGTGTGTAAGTGAAAACGGGACAAAAGATCAGAGACATATTTATGCTGAGAGAGGAACAGATCTTTATGAGTACGGATGGCCTGAATGCCAAGAAAATAATGCAGATCACCCAAGTCTTTCATGGCAAAATGGTGAGCAATAAGATGAATGAACTGAGTGACAGTAGTCGAGGAATTTCCAGTTATAATAATGTCATCCACATATAATAACAGATAAATAATCGAAGTGCCCTGGCGGTAAATAAATAGAGAGTTGTCCGACTTACTACATAAAAAATTATGAGAAAGCAGGAAACTACTGAACCGATGAAACCATGCACGTGGGGCCTGCTTAAGACCATAAATAGCTTTGCGCAAACGACACAAATGATGAGGATACTGAGGATGAATGAAACCCCGCGGCTGACGCATATATACCTCTTCAGTAAGATGACCATGAAGAAAAGCATTTTTAACATCAAGTTGACGCATAACCCACCCAAAAGAAATAGCTAAAGTGAGAACAGTACGAACAGTGGTGGGTTTAATCAGGAGATTTTTGAAAAAGTTTTTCATAAGGGGAGAGACCAGACAGTGTTGGAGTGGGTAATCGGTTAATAATATATATAGCTGTAAACAGCGCATCGACCCAAAAATGACTAGGAAGAGATGCCTCAATAAGCATTGTCCTAGTAAGTTCAAGTAGATGTAGATGTTTACGCTCAGCAAGCCCATTTTGTTGAGGAGTGTGAGGGCATGATTTTTGAAAATAAATTCCATGAGTATCAAAAAAATTCTGCATATTGAAATTAACAAATTCACCCCCTCCATCACTTTGAAAAATTTTAATTCTAGAGTCAAAAAGATTTTCAACTAAAGATTTAAAAATTTTAAAGGAGTCAAAAACTTCATTTTTAGTGCGCAATGGATAAACCCACGTAAAGCGTGAAAAATCATCAATAAAGCAGACATAGTATTTAAATCCCAAATTAGAGAGAACAGGAGACTGCCACACATCAGAATGAATTAATTGCAATGGATAGGAAGAAGTATGAATAGCATCTGAAAAAGGTAATCGTTGGGACTTGCCTAACCGACAAGAAATACAGTCATGAGAAAAACTAGAGCTATTACATATGCGTTTTTGACCACTTAAAATACGTAAAATATTTTCACCACAATGACCTAATCTACGATGCCACACAGGGCCAGTGGTGAGAACTGAAGATAAAGCTAGACTAGATGGTGGACTCAGACTGAAAGGATAGAGATGGCCATTAGTTGTTGCCCGAAGAAGAACCGCCCCCGAAATTTTGTCCTTAACAAAAAAGGAATTTTTGTCAAAAATAGCAACACAGTTGTTATCAGCACACAATTTTTGAATTGAAATTAAATTGAATTTAATATTAGGCACATGATAAACAGATTTTAATAGCAGTGGGCGGCCAGAGGAATTTAAAGAAATATCACCAACATGTTTAATAGGGAGTTGAGCACCATTAGCAACACTAACAATAGTTGGACCAGAATAAGTAGATTTATTTGTCAAAATACCTTCAGATGAAGTCATATGAGCAGAGGCACCAGTATCTGGATACCACAGAGCTTCATTAGCTTGACCGGTGAGAAGAACAGGTACAGTGGGTGGAGAAAAACGAGATGGACAGCTGATAGCAGAGTGACCTGCAGAAAAACAAATTTGACACACAACGGGTGGAGGAATTGCCCCAAGAATTCCTTCAGTTGATGATGAGCCTGCAGATTTAGTATTAGTACCACAATATAATATAGCATTAGTATTTAAAGTGGACAAAACAGAATTACTTATTGCACCTGCATTTGGAGGTCTCAGTTGCTGCTGCTCCCTATTATGCTGACTGAAACCTTGCTGGTGATGTTGCTGCCCCGGTTGCTGCCCCTGCTGCTGTCCTTGGCCGAGAGAGGGGGGCTGG